CCCTCTGACCCCCACGCCCTCCACTGGACTCCAACCCTCGGGCTCCCACCGCCTTCCACCTGACCCCCACGCTCCAACCCCTGTGCCCTTCACCCCACGTCCACACCCTCTGCCCTCGACCCTCATCGCCCGCCACCCGACCCCACCCTCCAACCCGCAGTGCCCAACCCCCACTGCCCACCACCGCCATCCAACCCCCTCCGACATCCACTGCCCTCCACCCAACCCCTATACCCTCCAACCTCGACCCACCAACCTCAACCCTCCGACCCAGCCGCCCTCCAACCTCCAAAGCCCCCCACCCTCCAACCCCCACCACCCTCCTACTCCACTGCCCTCCACCCAATCCCGCTGCCCTCCACCGCCATCCAACCCTCGCGGCCCTCCACGCACCCCCCAACCTCTGGACCCGCCGCCCTCAGACCCCCTCAGACCCCCACCGCCCTCCACTGTCCTCCACCCTCTGGGGACCCTATTAAGACCCGCTGACCCATTTCAGGGTGCAACTATTGTTCTCACAGAGTGGTCACCTCGGGGACTTTCAATAAAGCCTGCTTCAGTCTGATCCTCTTGGCCTCCTCTTTTCTAACTTGTCCAAAAAAGTAACAACAATGTAAGAAAATTAAAAAAAAAACAAAACTTTTCTTATAAGAATAAAGCACCGTTCATATTAATGACCCAATTTAATGATGAAAATTTACAGAAGGACACACGGTATTTGTTTGACTCCATTTTAATTCTAATTTCTGTATTTCCATCTTAAGAAAATTCTTTAAGAGCCTCCCTGTTGGCACAGAGTTTGAAGCTCAACGCTTTCACACTATCGTCAGCCACCGTGGCCCGAGTTCAATTACCCACCAGGGAGGTGACCCGCGTGGCGCAATAGCCCTTTCCGGTCTCTGCCGCTAGCCCCTCCCTCAACAGTGTAATTCAGAAGATCTGTCTGTTCCGTTCGCCACTCTGTCCTTGGTGAATCCTTTCACCCTGCGCACCCCAGTTCATGTATACATAAATTTTTTTAAAAGAAATATTAAATAAAATTCTTAACAGATTTTACATTTCTTCGTTCTAATAGCATAATCCCCAGGGGAAGGGGAGGTTCCAGGTCCCAAGCCCCACCCAAAGGAGGGTGGAGCTGAGCAGGAGATTGGGGAAGAAGCAGCATGGAGATCCAGGAGACCCAGAAGAGCACATGGAGCAGGGAGACCCATGAAGAAGCGGCACTTGCTTCTTGGCCCGGGAGGGCTGAAACGCATGTGGGTGAGACCGTGGGGAGGTTTAACTATGGTGTTGATCTTGATTTTGGTTTTGTTCTTTTCCTCCCAGACTTGTCTGACTGTTCCTGACTCTTTCCTATGGGTCCCCGCTGGAGGGTGCTTTAGACACACAGCGGCGGGATTTCAGACCTTGCGTTGGCCCAGTCTTGCTTGGGTGGACTTTTACCCGCCGAGGGGATGGGTAACTTTGGGTGCTAGATTTGGAAACTTGCCTTGTCTTGTCTGTTTTGCACACTAATTGTATTGAATTCCTTTAAAGGTCTTATGTTTTGTCTTGATGGGTGGAATGGCAGAACCTGTTTATTGACTTTCTTAATTTATTTTATTCATTTATGTGTATAACAGCTGGGGTGTAAGTCGAAGGTGGGGGGGGGGAGGATTCACCAGAGACAGTGGGGAACAGAACAGGCAGATGTACTGAAATACACTGCAGAGGGAGGCAGCGGGTGAGAAGGGTGCGGTCCGCTGCGCCATGTTGGACAGCCCCCGGCGGAGGATGTAACTCATGCGGCAGTGGCCGCAGATTGCTTCATAGCGCTGACGCTTAACCCCTTGCGCCACCAGGGAGGCCCTTTGTTTCTAGTCATTTGGTCAGAGGTTCTGAACAAGTATATTCTACTTATTCCGTGAATCCCACCCACGTATGCTTTTGAAGGTCTCTGGAGTTGTTGAGTTCAGAAAACGGGTTTCCTGTGAAGCAGGAAGTTGCTAAATCTGCTGCTTGGGTTCTGGAGCCTACAGTGCCAGTCCTGTGCCGCTTGCTCACGGTAGTCGCTCCCTTCCAAACAATAAAGTCTGTGACAGCTGGATGACAAGCATCCTCATACCAACTGTGTAATACCTTACCATTCCTGCAATTCAGGGCTCAGCCTTTGGGGTGCTATCCCACTGAGCCGCCCTTGTGGCTCGCTCTCTCCACCTCTCTCAGTGCTGCCTGATTTCTCTGGGAAATTGCTGTGACATTTGGGTTATCTCTGGGAGAAGTTTCACCAGAGCTCCCTCTTCAGTGGCATCAGTGACTTTCCCAGGAGAGTTTCTCCACAAGACAGAGACTTTAGTTATACCCAAAAGGGCAGGTTATTATAAAAGGGAGAGAATTAAGGACAATTGCATGTAGAAGGGGCAGATTTGCTTAAAGAAAGGCCTGCATGGTCCAGGAGGGTGGCCTTGAGAGCAGCGTCTGCTGAAGGAGGTCAGTACAGACTAGGCCCGGCAGGTAGACGGCATGGGCAGGCAAGAGGCTGCTGCCCGGCGGAGGGAGACAAGAGACCAAAAGCAGCACTCCAGGGGCACAGTATGGCTATCCCGCCCCAGTGCAGACGCGCTTTGCTTTGGAAAGGGCATGGAGTAGCTGTTCGCTGTTGATTTTGGATAACTATATAGAATTCGAAAGGGACCAAAGAGTCTACAAGACCCTCAGTCTTCTATCTTTACCTCCAGCGGCTCCCTATGACACTCACAGCATCTGACAGTTTGCTTGGGTCTGTGCCTTGATGCCTAAGGATTTTTAGTTCCTACAGCTGGTTTCATGGGTGAGCCAGGTTTCTGGTCTCCTGCTGCTTCCTTTCCAACCTCTCTAGCCTTATCCTCCATCAATCCCTCACCCCTTTTGGGTATTCCCTGTTAACAGTTTGATCTTTGTGGAAATGGTTCTGTGTGATAGCAAGCAGTCTTACTCAAGGATGCCTGGTGCTGAAACCACATGGCTAGGTAGGAACAGAATAGGCTCCAAAATGACATTTGAAGCCTCATGGTGGACTTCTCTGGTACTAAACAAGCAATTTCAGTTACAACTGATGGTGGTAGGGGCCTCGCTGGTGGCTCGAGGGGTTAAGTGTCAGCACTGTGAAGCTATTCACAGCCACTGAGAGGTAAGTTTGATCCCCCAGCCAGGGAGCTGACCCACATGGCGCAGCAGACCTCTCCTATCCTGCCCACTGCTCCCCTCAGCAGTGTATTTCAGTCAACCTGCCTGTTCTGCTCCCCACTCTGTCTCTGGTGAATCCTCTCACCTCTCCCACTCGTACCGCTGGCCTACACCCCTGAACTTATATGCATAAATACATTTTTCCCAAAAATAGTGGTAAGTTGTGACTCTGGACTTTTGTCTGTGATCGCTGCTGGTTTATAGATCCAACTAGCAATTCTGAAGATAGTGACAGATTTTGAAGTGACTACTCAGCCTCAAGGGATTTTGCAATACAACAAAGACTCAGTGATGGTTTTGACTAGTATATTTTATGCCTGGATGCTAAGGTGGAAGAAGTCTTGAGCTATAATTAATTGGTAGATGCTGATGACCTTAGTGGATTCTTGGAGAATACTTGGGTTTAACAAGGTCTAAATCTGAAAAATTAGAAAATTTTTATCTGGGTAATTTGAAAGAATTTTGCTACTGGGAATTTTTGTCTACACTATTTGTTTGGGGCATATTTGTGATTTAGTTCTTGAATTTGTTTGAGTGCTGGTAGAAGATGAGATTCTAAGAATCTGCTTACTACTGAGGAAAGTCTGTTTTGGAAAACATTCTATTTGATGATGAAAGCCCTCTGTGAACACCAGAAATGTAGTCTAACTTCCCAGATCGTAGGCAGCCACTTGTGATACGCTGAAGGAAAAATCTGGAGGTCTTTCCTTTGACTGATCAAAAAAATTTTATGGAATCTCAGTAGAGCTCCTGGGACACTCCACCAAGTTTCTTCCTACCCTCAGGGTAAAGATATTAGAAGAATTTGACCCACTTGGTATTTACCCAGCTAATTGGAATCCAGTGGGAAGCATGGTCACTGGGAGAAATGTACGACTTTGGCATATGCATAAATGTTAACATTGGTGTTCTAAAATTTATATAAAACTTTTTAAGTGCCTGATACACAAACTGTTGATTTTGATTGTTGTCTTACAATATTGTTGCCTATTTCTATGGTTTGACATCTGCAGAAATTGTTTCTTGAGAAATTAATGGGAGAGAGAGACCTCAACTCATTCCCATTGCTGGAATGTGTGAGAATTTACTACAAAAATACTATATGGGCTATTGGAAATGAACATCATTTTTGATAAATTTAGTAGAACCAGAGCTTCATTGTATTACTATGCACCTATGCCACAATTCCACACCTGAGGCCCTGAAGTATAACTTGAAACTCCTCTAAATGAACTATCATGGTCAGAAAGCTACAGCTACTAGTACCATAAATCCGTATTTCAAAATATCTTTATACAATGCTTTACACGCTTTCAAAAAGAGAAGGGGATGTTACTCCTTCTATTATGTTTTATTACCCTGATAACAAAATCAGAGAAAGACATCACATAAAAAAAAGTAGACTTTATGAAGAGATGTGAATCTTTAAAAAAAATAAAATAGTAGCAAAACTATCCTGCAATATATAAAAGGATAACACTTCATGACCAAGTGGAATTCATCCCAGCAATGCAAAATTGGCTGAATGTCAATGTAATTGTTACAAACTTAGTTTTACACCCACCCCCAAATGTGTATGTTGAATCTGGAACCATATGTGATTATATCTGAAAACAGACCTTTTCAGAGGCAATTCAGTCATACCATATAGAAAAATTAATTCAAAATAAATCGAAGACATACGTGTAAGCACTAATACCATAAAACTGTTCGAGGAAAACAAGCATAAATTTTCATAACCTTGGATTAGGCAATTTTTATGATACCAATAACCAAAAAAACTAAATTTAACTGTAGCAAAATTTGAGACTTTTGTGCAGAAAAGCATAAATTTCAAAGTCCTTACCCTTACCCTATAATGGTTTACAGAATCAATTCTTTGAATTGTTCACTTATCACTTACTACCCCCTATCCACCTCCACTGCAGCCACTGTCCTGGCTTTTGGTTTGCACCCTTCAGCCTCAAGTTCTCTGTCCTTGTTCTCTCTTCCCTCTACCGAGAAGTTCTTCCCTTGGATCTAAGCAACTCCAGTTCCCATATCTCATTTAATTCTCAACTCAAATGTCACTTCCTGAACCTACTTGGCCACTCTATCTAAAACTGCACTTCCCCTCATTTTTTTTCATCACATTTATCATATTCTGATAGATTGTTATAAGATACACAGAACTTTTCTGCCTACTGCACTACAAGTTTTGGGAAAAGGCATTTTGTTTATGGTCACACCCCTAGAGTCTACAGTGCCTGTTGACTACTGGATTCTTAATATGACTTGTCATCTGAGTGAATAAATAAGTAGAAAAAGAAATTCACAACTAGGTCTCTTGAGGTATGACTGTGCTATTAGGACCCTCTTACCTGTTCCAGGCTATGATAGCGCACACAGCAGTAGCTGCAGTATCCTTGTCTGTTCTGCATCTTGAATAACCAGTCAGGTGGTGACTATCCAATACTCAAACTGGGGAAAAAAGTGACAAAATCACAGCAATTCCATACTAACAGGAGGAAAATGCCTAGGATAATATCAGAGAACAGAAGTTCATTCTTGAATTCCAATAATTATAACAATATGCTGCTGTGAGCTACTGAATCAATCAGGAAGTCAGGAGTAGAGAAAGGCTACGGCAGTGTATTTTATTAACAATACTGGAAGCACAGATGATTAATGTTCTACCATTTTTCTGCTAGGAATTCACTGAGTTCTGGAGACTACAGTACTCAATTTGTAAACACAAACTACTTACTCTAAGTTGTTGGTATAGTGTATGTACTACCCACTAAAGAGGTCCCTTAACTTTCCCATTATGTTTCTGTACAAAATCAGATTATGTAAACTCTCAGTGTCATATATATCCAATATTGACATGAAAGAAAAGATACTAATGTATTATCTGCTTAGTCCAAAAAAAGGGAAGATTTTTCACTCATTTATCCAATAAAATTGCTAAAAATCAAGGTAACTGATTTACCTTTAATCACATTTCTCATTACATACTAAATAAATACAAGGGGCTGCTTTCCAACTGGTACAATGAGTTTTCTCTACAAATAAAGAACAGCTCCCAAATTTCTACACCCTAAAACTATAGCCCTTAAATATCACAAACTGTGTAGTTTCTCACATCAGGCCAAACATCTAATACATCTCCCAAAATTCTGCATTCGTAGAACTAAAATAGAGCCCACATTCTTATTGTTTTTAATTCCCCAGATAACTTTAATATACAATTTACTCACTGCCACACAGTATATGTAGCTTATGATTATTTTAAGTAACAATTCTAATACAATGTAGTTTCTTGCTGTGTTTTGTTACAGTGGAAATAGAATTGTAAATCATAATTCCATCAAGTTTTTAAAATATTCTAGTGTGCTGGCAACTACATTTTAAATATTCTTGTGTGCTGGAAACTACATTAACAGAATGATTCCATGATGTGTTATAACTACTTCTGGTAAGTTTATCCTGCAGTGGAAAAAGTTTATACATTAAAATCAATGTTAAAAGAAATGAAATCACACCCTTAAAAACAAATAGAAAAGCTTCCTTAAATTGAAATACTATCAGAACATTCACTTACTGATTTTTTTATTATGAGAAATTTTCTGATTGCTCACACTTATGGGGAAAATAACTAAACCAGCCTCTGATATAAGAAATATGTAAGAAACTACTTACTTAAAAATTGATCTTTTCCATTAATCTACTTCATGTATTATCCTGAAGCAACAAAATAAAACAAAACATTATGAATACAAAATTATATAGATGAGGTAAATTTCAGCCTGTGAGAACTCTAGAATTAAGCCTACCTTAAAGTCACCTAACAACCTTTTTAGTGTGTTATTTAAAATGTAATTAAAAGATCCCTTCAATAAAAGTATAGCTCTAACATCACACATAAACACAAAATATAAATACTTTAAATACCTTTTGATCTTCTACTGTGGCCCTTAATTCTCATTGAATTACCTCCTGCCATTTCCATTACCTCCAGTGTCATACACATAGCTAATGTGTATGTAGTGACAATAATTACTGAATCAGAAGCACCTGCTAGCATTTTTAAAAATTCACATGGTAGGACCATACCTTGAACTAGGAAAACCTCTGGCAAGGAGCCAGGTACATACATATTATGGACATTTAAAATTCTGCAAAGTGATTTTAATATGGGTTGAACCAATATTACAAGTCATCATTTGTTATAAAGTAATGGAAATTTTTATTAAAGTGATCATTTATTTGGGGCTGGGATTCTATTACTTTGCTGACTGGATAAGACATCTTATACAAATTCTGTTCTACTGGTACATGGTATTTTTATAAAGTAAACAATCATTTACCTTGAGCATAAATGGTCAGGTATTTCATCAGCTTTTAGTCCTGGCAAACATCTGTAAATTAAAACAATTTTTAAAAAGATAAGCCCCACGAGTGTCTACCATTGGCCACATAAGTACCCCCAAGTTTAAAAAAATGACACAATTGTTTCCAATAATAGGAGAAAAAAATTGGACATAAAGCAATTTACATACAGCAATTCATTGAATCCCACATGGCCTCCTAAAATGTTCTGAGACAGATGAGACAAGAGTATAACATAGAACCCCCACCAAGCAATTCAGATCTCTGGGTTCTAAGAATCGCTGTTTAAAAAAAAAAAAAAAAAGGGAAGTGCAACAGTGCCTCTTAAAATAAGGTTTGTAACAACAATGCTATCAAACTCAAAATGACCTTCATGAGAAGCCTTTAAAAGAAATATCTATATGAAATTAAGTTTGGATCCTCGACTACCTCGTGACTCTGGGTTTTAATGAAAAATACTGCCAATTCATTTATCATCTATCCATATCAACTTTCAATTTTTTATTAGTACTCAAAAGAGTCAGTAACTCCAGTGTATCAGTATTAAGCACCTATCCTGTGTAGGGTTCTATGCTAGAAACTTTAAGGAATAAAGAGTGTATATAACACAAGCTTTCTTGCCCTCAAGGAGTATAAAATGGAACAACAATGGGAAATTCATGCAAAAAATTTAATTTTATAACTGCCTAACCAAAATAATAGGTGCTAATTCAGTTTTAGCTGAAGTGGCCTGGGATGCTGAAGTACATAGGATTTTTAAACCAGATGGTGGAAAATAGGTAGGATTTGCTTACACAAAGTTCAGAAAAAGATAATTCCAAATAACAAGCAAAAGTACAAAAGCAAGAAAGCACAGTATTTTGGAGATAATAAATTGACAAATTTGGTTGGATCTGAGGTTTTGAGAATTTGAGGAGCAATAAAGCAGGAAAAATAGATTCAATTCTAATCCATTAGGGCAAAAAGGAGAATTTATCATATATATTGAGACCTATCTTAAGGCGGTGAGGAAGTTTTTGGAAAAAGTATATTTAAACAGTACTTAAGAAAATTCTGAACAATGGTTTTTAATCCACAAATGAGTTTTCACAGGGTAAGGAATATAGTTGTTAAAATATTCAGCACCATTTCCCAAGAATACTGGAGAATTCATTAATACCCAAAGCACTCAAATCAGATTCAGTATCCCTTAAAGCAAATACTTATTTCATTTTCACACTTTAAATTAGGAACACACACACATTTATTTCTTTAAAAATGACTTTTATTGATTTTTGTTACAAAAGTAATACATATAGTACAATTATAAAATAAAAGCCAATAAAAACCTTGCTTCTAAACATGTTTTTGTACTGTACATTCTATTCTACTGCCTCGTCTCTCAACCATATAGAATAAAGGCATCTATATGATTATAAATAATAATTAAACAGGGTGTTTTATGATTGTATAGTATTTTATCAGTGTAGGATAAAAGCCCCCATTTATCTGAAAAAACTCAGTAGTTGGTGAGTTAATGTTTAAAAAGTATCCATATAACCTTAATATTTATTTAACTCAAAACAGTGAACATCTATGTTTAAGATCAATTTAGAGTTTTATGTTTCATTGGGGTTTTTTCGTGGCTAGAGTTCCAAGTAATTTTTTTTCATATTTCCATAAAGCATACATAATGTACCTTTTAACTGCTTGACATTCTGATTTTTCTAAACCAAGAAGAACTTAAGACATTTTCAAAACTTAAAACAGTATTAAAATCTACCTCAAGACTTCCCCCAACCTGTTACATTGTCATAACCAATTATAGACTTTTTGCACCGGCTTTTTTTTTTCACTCTAAAATATTAAATTTCTTTTTCAATGGTCCCCTTAAAAATGAGGGTGCTGACACTCATTACATTGGTTTATGTAACATTTAAGGTTGCATAAACCAGCCAGGGGCAACAAACAGATCTTTCAACTACGTGAGATCACTTCATTCAGCACAACTGTCTCCAAATAGAAATAGCTTTATTTTTTCTTCAGATGGTTTCTTATACACCTGTGATCTGTACCTGTTACAGAGATAAACACTGTTGAAATGAGTTCTGAGCTGCTGTGTGCCACCCTCACTGTGGTATTGAAACCGTTAACAAAATCCAGAATCCCCATGGGAAATACTTTTCAATTGTCTGACAAGAGAAGCACTAACTTACTATTAAATTAAAAAAAAAAAAAAAAAACCAGTAGAGCAGCTCTAGCTTTACTGAATAAAATAATTTAAATTATTTACCTAGCAAAAGGAAAACTGTTGGGGAGCAATTACAAAACAGTGGGCTAAATTATACAAAAAGACCATCTTGTTTTTGTTCCTTCCCTAAATCTGCAGCAACAAGGGGCTCCTCCTTTACATTAACTAATTTTCAGCACTCAGTGTTTTTGGATTATCCACCTTAAGCTGATTTACAACTCTAATGGCTAGCATTATGCTGCATATCAGCACTCAGTCTTAATAAAATAATAATAGCTAACTTGGCGAGTACTTAATGTAGGCCAGCCACCAGTTTCACATACATTATTGTCTCATCTAAATACCAAATAGCTTTTTGAGATACAGATCTTTACAAGTCAGGAAACTGAGGTTGAGAAAAGAGCAGTATCTTAATACCAGCTCACACACCAGTAGCCAGTGAAGCTGGGATCTCACCCTAGGCAATCTGAGCAGTATAAATTCTTAATTTTGTAATATGATTTTGTAACGTCTATGAAACACTTAATCTCTGTATTTTCAGGAATGCTAAGTAAGCATCGATTTAGTATTACATGAAAATATAATTAAGAATCTATTTGCTACAATAAACATTTCACATCCAAAGAGTAAAACTAATGCTTCATTTAATACCATTATTTTAATTCTGAGAACAGTGCTAACAATACCTTGAATTTGTTGCATAGGGCCAAGGAGAGGAATACATTTTATATCACAACAAAGAAACACATGCTTACGCCCCACCACAAACGTTCACCAAATAATATCTTCCTCACACATTAGATTCTGGTACTTTCTATG